CCTGTTGTTTTCTTACAGGTCGGGGTTTTTGTTTTACTGTTTTAATTAAAACAAATAAAATACATGATGCGTTTTCACTTGGGTCAAAAAGTGAATGGCCGTGATTTTTATGTTGTCTCTTCACTTTGTCGTTTTCTGCCGTGGTCGTTGGGCGCCGAGTGTGCGCACTTATCTCTTTTGAGTTTGTGTTATTGATTGTAGTGTAGTGCTGTTTGGCGTTGATCTTGTCCTGTATCTATTCCCTTGTCTCTCGTCGCACCCCCCCTCTCCCTCCACCGCTCCCTTCCCCACCAACCTGTCTGTCATCTGTGAAGCAAGTGCATCCATGTGCTTTATCAAGGCTTTTGCTTGGAAAGCAGACACGATCTTGAAACTGTCCTAGTTCATGGTCACAGACTACTTAAGTGCATTGTGGGAGACTGCTTTTAAAATTAAAATAGAGTGTTTATACAATCTGGTAAGACATTGTTGAACTGTCTACAAAAGTAACATAAAATTGTGGTAGGTGTGCTGAAGACAGTCTTGGAGCTATATATGTGTTTTATCGGTTCGGTTTGGTTTGGTAGGTAGGCGGGGCTTGCCAGATGGAGGGCGAAAAGCGACCATTGTGGCACAACCGAATGAAGCCGACGGCTACCATTAAAAAAAAGCAAACGCGTTTGTTTTCTTGTCCTTGAGTTGGGGGATCAGTTTGTGTTAAGAGGACTGATCCAGCTATGGACAGTGGGTATAAGACTGACAAAACAACTTCCATTTCTCCGCTCTTTGTTGTTGTGGGTGTACCAAGAGGCTTTGGCTTTTTGCTGGTGAGCTGAGGAAGTTTTGCCGTCAAGATGTCATGCTGAGAGCTTGGTCTGGAAAGTGAAGGAGTTGGGGGGAGAGGGGATGAGACAAGTGGGTGGAGTGGTTGTTCTTGTACGAGTTACTGGGTGGTCACTATTAACAGCTCGGTCTACCTTTATCTACCTTTGCTCGCCTCATTTTGTAAGAATTGTTAATAAAGAGGTTTTTATATTATTCTCTAGGGCTGTAGTGAAAGAACTCAATGCTTATCACACAAGCGATAATTTTCTCAATGTTGTCATAAGTTTGGTTTTTATTTTAGTTGTTGAAATTTTTTATTTCCCTCAAAGTATGAAATCTGTAAGCAGTGTAAAGTTCAGAGGTCATAGAGGTAATGAGAGCTGAATCTATGTTCCACGTGATCTGATCTTCTTGTGGTTCTGTTCTGCACACCCCAAAGTCTGTTTTCATAGAGCATAGGTAGTTTGGCTCGTTCAGAATGAAAAGCCCCAGAAGTTGTCCCAGCTAGTGCTTGAATGGCTGTTTGTGTGCCTGTGTGTAGTGTCTAATTTTTCTGCATTTTCTATATTACGGAAGAGAGCGTGCTCAAAATTTGCTTGCGCCATCCACGCTAGTTTCCCTTCTCCTCCTTTTTACTGGCGTCTGTGGTGTAATGCTTAGGCTCGTCGCCGTTTCACGCAGAAGGCGTTAGTTCAAATCTCGAGTGGGGGAGACCTCTCACCGAGTTTCTACGTCTGTGTCTCCTGGGATGCTGTTTTCCAACCGAACCCACCTGTGAGGCAGGCAGGGTTGAAGTAGCGCGCCACCCCCTTCCCCCTTTCCCCAACACCTCTTAAATGTCTAAATTGTGTTAAAGGAGATGCAAAACATCCAAGCTCCCTTTTTTTTCCTTTGTCACTGTGCTGCCATTACATGTTATTGTCGTTGATCACCGAGTCCCTGCCCCACGTCCGCGTCCCCCCCCCCCCCCCCCCCCCCCTCTCTCTCTCTCTCTCTCTCTCTCTCTCTCTCTCCCCCCTCCCACGTCTCCCTGTGCTACTGTGTTTTTATTGTGAGTAAAACTAGCTGATACTGTTTTCAGGACCCATCATTATTGACTATTGACATGCCTTGTATTTGTTACTATGAAACATTGTCAAATCTGAATTAAGATTGAAAAAAAAGCAAAAAAATGAATAAAAATGATAACAAGACCTTACTTTCAATGGTTTGTTGTTGTAGTTGTTGTTGTTGTTGTTTCTTCTTCTTCTTTCTTCTCCTCCTCCTCCTCCTCCTCCTCCTCCTCCTCCTCCTCCTCCTCTTCTTCCGACCGACTCCTCGGCCTCCATGATCACATATGTGCCTTATTATCTTTGAAAATTGCCAATGTTCTAAAAAAAAAAAGACAACTGCATTATTATTAATGATGACCTTGGATTCTCCTCTTTCACAACACCCGCCCCTCCCCTAAAAAAATTATTTTAAAAAAAAATCGTCTGGCTAACTTATCTGTTCGAGTTGAGTAAGTTAAAAGGGTGTCTAACTAACTCTGCCTCTCTTGTTTGTAGCTAGAGCAGTATTTCACACCTAACTAGCTGAATACCTTTGATAAAATTAATCGTGGCATTATCTGGAACCGGAGCATGGTCAGTTGTTTACACTTCACACTTCACACTATGTGGCCAGTGTGTCAAGCCAGGAAATGGGGAATGGGCGCACTCAGGTCTTCTGTCAGCACTGCTTGGAGGTCACGTCTTAGACAATTTCGATTTATACATATTTACATTGATTAAACTCCTCAAGAATACAGTTATTTATTATTTTTCTTAAGAAGAGGTGGGGCCTACGACAACATCGAGGTTTTCAATAGGACCTCGCCTAGTGTGTGGACAAACATGATACTTCCCCAAAACAATCAAATTAAATCCCTCGTCCCATTGTGCATTCAAACCAGGACCTTCTTCATCGTATGCTAGGCCTAAAATTCTATCATAAAACGAACTGCGCTATCAGCATTCATTGTTGAAACGACAGATCGTAGTAGTTTTAGTAATTATCCGAATGCAAGTGGAACGCACGGCAGACTGAGACAGGCTACAGACCATGCTCTAAGTTACGATGAAATAACATCAACAACAACAGCAACAGGTCACTTCTCCGGGCTGCAGGCCTGCATAGAATAGACAAAACATCGGACCCAATCTGTCCATTGTGCAGCGAGGAGCCCCAAGATTTGGAGCAGTGGCTGCAGAGATGCCCCGCCACAGAGTTCCAGCGGAGGCATCTCTTTGGGGGAGGATTCAGGGAGGTTGGACTGCCTCACCCGCTACCCAAGAGAGGCGGTGGCCCTGGCGAAGAGCACGCTCTTCGGGGCTCCTAACATTTCAAACGGATAGGCTATCACAATAACACACACACACACACACACACACACACACACACACACACACACACACACACACCAGCAACAACAACAACGACGACGACGACGACGACAAAGGCAATTGCGACGACCAGAAAATAATCATTACACACGATTTATTTGTGAAACGATCAAAAGATCACAAAAACCCTTACGAAAACAGAAGCAAAATATAGCTATTTCATGACTAAGGGAAACAACCAAGAAAATATTCTCTTTAGCTTTGTTTACCGAGAGTTATATTCCTTATTTACCGAGCATCTAATAACAAATTATAGTACTTTGACCCTGCAATTCATTTATAATACATGTATCTGTATAGTGTACATCTATGGTTTTTTTCTTTAACAAGAAAACTAACTAAATTTATAGGCATGCTTACAAAGGAATTGTTGCTCATATTGCACGGTGGGTTTTGTTTGTTGTTTGTTTGTTTAGTATAGGGTTTTACGGCGCTCGCAACTGCATAAGGTCATATGAGCGCGCGGGACACACCTAATACTTTTTCGTTGGTAGGAATTTTTGAATTTTGCCCGGGTGGCGGCCGAAGCCTACTCTTATCGATGTTAGACCACCAAGGGATCTTTAACGTGCGCAACTTGCACACGGGCCCTCCGAGATTTTTCGCCCTTGTCCGAGAAGGCTAGGTGTAGATCTTTCCTACCAGAAGATCAGGGGTGTGGCAGAAAGACAGCAGTTAGGAGGAACCAAGGAGTAGCAGTAGAAAGGCTGCAGAAAGAGTCAGGAGCCCAGAGGAAGGGGCAAAGGAGGTGAGGGGGTGGGGGCAGAAAGTGGAAATGAAAGCAGACAACAGAACATTGTTAGAGATCAGGAAAGGATGTGAAAGGAGACAATTTTAGAGAAGAAAAATGTTTTTGGTCGCTACCCGGAATCGAACCCGGGACCTTTGAATGAGAGGCCAACACCTTAACCTCTAGGCCACGAGAGCCCCCGGGTTTTGTTTAGATACATGGGTACATAATATATACATAAAGAAACTAGATCTATGTTGTCCATTTATGTGATTTCCTCTTGGGAGTCTGGCGTATGGGCAGGTTCGTGTGTCCTAATGTTTGTGTGTGTGTGTGTGTGTGTGTGTGTGTGTGTGTGTGTGTGTGTGTGAGAGAGAGAGAGAGAGAGAGAGAGAGAGAGAGAGAGAGAGAGAGAGAGAGAGAGAGCGTGAAGGAGAGAACAAGATCAAAACTGGCCTTGAGAGACAGGAGACAAGTAGATTCACTAACAAAAAGAGAGACTGAGATAAGAAGACAAAAAAAGTTTACAATTACATCCACAATATCTTGCTTAGTGAAAACAAAAATATAATTAGATTTAGATCTACAGATTTTTTGTCATAGCCTACGTTTTTATTTATTAAGTTTGAGAGTTGGCCTCGCCTATGCCCAAACGATTCTCGAATCAAGAGTGAGACGACTTGAAGCTGATGTTCCCCCCGCGCCAAACCCACGAGGACGACTTCAAAGTTGAACTGAAGTCAGTGAAAAGCCGATTCAAAGTTCTTCATTCATTATTTTTAACCTCCACAATTTATCTTTTTTAAAACCTTTAAAATGGCTTAAAGTATTCTTTAATATATTTCATATTAAAAAGAAAAATAAGATGTGTGTAATAATATTATTGATAAGCTTATCATTTATGCGTAGGCTTAATCTTAATTTTTTCGAGACCTAATTTTTTACTGTGCCACTCCCTCCATCAAAATCTGGGGTAGTCTAAAAGAGGCGATTTCGAACGAAAGACGGACGGAGCAAGCCAAGACGTTGGTGAACAAGTAAGTTGGCATAATAAACAACACTCACAGACGACCGATTGGTGTTTGATGAGATAGATAGATCTCTACATCTTGTGAGGAAAGGCAAAGTGTAAGTTATTGTGAGCAAAACCCACTGTTTACTGCAAGTGAAGACTTTGTTGTGTTCATTGTTTTTGCGATGTTTTTATTTGGTTTTGTATTGTTGTAAGTTATGCACAAGCACAGTGACAGTGGGACTGAGGATGCACAGAAGTAGAAGAAAGACAGTAGTAGGCTGGGGATGTGGGGTAGGAGAAGGGGCTTAGATCTAGATCTAGATCTAGATTCTAGATCTATAACTAATGAAAATGATGATACTAAGCTCGTAGCATTGCTCTAGGATTGTGTGTGTTTGTGTGTAAAAGACATAGTCCATATGGGCGGTTGACGGGTGCTCTGGTGTGGTTTGCTTCAAGATCTTCTACGGAGTGTCTACGTACACGGCAACCAGGCATGTAGCCTCAATATCTACGTACACGGTAACCGGCAACCGGGCACGTAGTCTCTCTATCACGTACACGGTAACCGGGCAGTCCAGAACTCCAAGTTCAGTTTTTGTCATCTGGTGTTGCTTTCATCCCCATCTCTCCTCCGGCTGTACCTTTAAAAAAATCAATAATCCCCCCGTTCTGGAGCCCTATCCTATACTTCGCAGCGCTCAGACTTTGAATGAAATTTGGTGACCCCAACGCTACTCACAATGTGATGCGCCCGCACAGGTTCACTGACAGGTCACGATGGCGAGCCCGACAAGACTTTCTTTTTTTTTGCTAGTGACAGTACAGGGCAAATATTGATTTATTTTCATGCCGGTGACCGTGTACGTAGATACTGTAACTAGGTGCGAGGTTATCGTGTACGTAGATACTGAGACTAGGTGCCCGGTTCCGTGTACGGCTAGGTGTAGATCTTTC